TAGACAGGGAGATAAAGGAGAGTATAAAATGACAACAGAACATAACATTGGCCTCTCATTCTTAAATTTGACAACCTAATTCACTAGCTCTAATGCTGTAGCCACACAGATGTACTGAGTTTATCTCTATCATGGGCCATGTCGCTTTCTCACAGTTGAATTCCCTAAGCTGTTTTTCCAGAATGTTTTGAAATCACTGATTTTGTTTTTGAAAAATAAGGATTAGTAAACAACTCAGATGTATTTAACATTTTTCTGCTTTTAACTGTCCCCAAACTCTTTTTCAGAAATCTGTCTAACACAAGAAATGCCTCTGTATCCCTCTACAATCTGGTATAGTGTCTCAATAAAGATTTATTTTTGAAATAACAGCTGCACTTCCTTTTAAGAGATGCTTTTTATTGGAAATTTTCATGAACCCAACTCTATTGCCTCTGCATGGATGCTGTCCTTCATTGATTCTCTTTTTCATAGGGTTTATGAACCTTTTGTTAATTTATTTTCAATCACAGCATAACAATGCCCTCAGTATCTTTTAATGGATTTTCATTGTTAACCACTGAATGGATAGCAACTTCTCAAAGGTAAATTAGTTAATTGAACACAACTCAGCATTAGCCATCATTATGAATCGTGTTAATGTACAGTCAATTTACAGGCTGTACGACACATTTAAGAGAGCAGTTGGGATAGAAAGTTCTTAATGTATTTATAACTACTGATATCTGCCGCATCTTTTTAGAGCTAGAAAAGTACACTAACCATATGGGTAGCTCTGTCTAACATTTGTTCTGTGTGCTACAAAACTTACTGATTTTTTTGTCACCTGCAGAAAGAATTCAAAAGCCAAACCATACTCTGGTCAAAATCCTCACAAATAAATCTACAAACATAGAATTAATTTAGAAGTCTCTCCACATAGTTTCTTTCAAAATGCACACAGGGGGTATATTACACACATTAAACACAACTTCTTTGACTTGGTAAGTTTTAGGTACTTGGGGGAAAGTTTAAGTAAGCACTTTATTTCAGATTGAAATTAAGTAAGCATGGTATTACTGTTAACTCTGTGGTTGAATCATTTAAATATTTCCATTTCCTTTTTCAGTACATACTTACTAATGAATTCACATGTAAAAGACACTGCATTATATGCAAAGGGACTATGAACATAAACTGAACACTGGTCTGGATTTTAAAAACTCTAATGAAGATAAATTTTTCAAAAGAAAGATAAATGCACTATGCTTTTAGTGCTATGAGAAATGTTTTAAGAATCCTAGAAGATAGTGCCTTATCCCAGCAATAGTTTCTTGAAAGGTGAGAGAACAAGGGAAGAATTAGAGGTTATGCAGGAATTTGCCTAGGAGTACAGAGGGTAGGAGTGAAGACTGCACAGGTTGGCATAAAAACTTTTCATAATTTGGAAAGGCAAAAGTAGAAGCAGAGAAGAGAAAAGGCTTGCATTAGCTGAAGGGACCAAAACGGATTAAAGTAACTGCACAGCTCATTTTGATGTGTCGGTGTTAGAAGATGAGAAATGAATACTGGCAAGTCAGGAGCTGGAGTATCAGCCACAGAACAAAACTCAAATCTTTAAACAAAACACAAAACAGACAAGTTTTGTGTTTTGTTTTTGTTACTGTGTTTGGAGGGACTGTTTATTTGTTTTGTTTTGTTTTTGATACAGGGTCTCACTACGGAGCCCTGGCTGGCTTGGAACTCTCTATACAGACCAGGCTGGCCTCTAACTCACAGAGATCTACCTACCTCGACCTCCCAAGTGCTGGGATTAAAATCATGCACCACCACTGTTGGCAGCTATAGAGAAATGAAGGAGAGTTACCCAGCGTATTTGGTGGTCGTCGAAGCTATCTGTAGACAGCTTGGATGGAAAGGGAAGAGGTAAGATGAAAACAGGTTATTTACATGTAGCTGTGCCACCTCCTCTTTCTCAACACTGTGTATGTCTATCACCAGCCTAGTCATCCTTCTTCATTTTGACAAATAGCTTTGATATATGCCTCATTTCCTTCCTCTTCAATCTAACCCATAAATCCTTATGGAAGCTTTATCTGACTCTCTAGTTTCTCCATTCACTGATCAGCTTTGCAGTCCTTCACAAACTTTTAACTTTGGGAATCCAACTAGGCATACCTGTGATTAGTTCTTTACTGTTTCATTTTTAAAACTTAAGCTCAGGCATCTATTTTTATGATAATCTTCAAAGTCATCCAGGCTGATATTCACATTGTTTATTTTTTTTTTTTCTTTTCCACTGTTATTTTTAATCTCACTGAGACTAAATGCTACTTTCTCCTGCCACTTGGTTCCTTTCTGCACATCTATTTTTTACTGGTGATATATCCCAGTTTACCTCTTCAAACGATCGTCTTGTCAATAACCTAAGATCATGAGTCTTGTTTCCTGTTTTGTATGTGTCTAACTATTCATAGTTGAGTCACATTAGTTTTTTATTTAATAAGTACTTATTTTTATTATGGTATTGTTTTTAAATTTTTCACAACATTAGCAATTTTAATTCTCCTAAAACTTTTTGAGGAAAATGCACTCCAGATGCTTCCTGAAGGAGGAACTGAACCACATCGACCACAAAACACTTTCTGTGCAGAAAGCAGGCATGAAGCTGTGGGAAAAACCAAACAACCGAGGAAAAGAGACACATGGAAAATCCCACAAACAAAAATGCGAGGACCACAGTCCACCGCTGAAATCAACCATGGAGGCTGACATGTGAGTGGAATGAGCAAGCCTCCAGACAACTTCAGCTTCTGAATGGAAGCCTCAGACATCGTGGAACAAAGAAGGATAAACCTTTGTTTCAATAACAAGTTTATCATTCAATTCAGTGAACACCTTTATGACTTTGATTTGACTTTATTTTGCAACATTTAAAACAGTCAACCAAGCCTAGTTCCTTTAGGAATTTGTATAAGGTATAGATGCACTTCATGCTCTGATTTTTCCTTGCATCTTTCTAGCAACTCCTCTTAGCTACTGATGAGAAAGCTTTGGTCCATCCTGTTCTCACGTCTTCTCTGTACCAGTTTTCCTCAGTAAGGAGTATAAAACTGGGAAACTCACTCCAGAGACACGTCTTCACTTGCATAGCTTCAGCTGTATGCCAACATCTCTTCAAACACGTTTAGCCCAAATGTCTCTTCTTGGTTCTTTGCTTGTTATATGTTAAGCCATTCATCCTCACGGCAACTCTAGTTTGATAAGCATATATCATGTCTGCTCTTTTCACAGTCTTTATTTCAACAAATGACATTAATACCTAATAAGCGTAATTTTCTAATCTAAAAACGTGGATATAATTAGGATAAAACTTTGTCTCCTTTATCTTTTTTACTATCTATTGCTTGTTCAAATTCTCTTGGTTCCATTTAATGAATACTACCTGTCTCTTTAATTCCCAAAGGCACTGCTTTATTTTTACTCTCTACTTGGTCATTACATTAGTTTTCTCACCTATTATGCTGTCTTTTCTTCAATCTAGTGTACATATTATGACAAGACTATTTAAATGTCTTTCCTGGAATACCTTTAAACATCTGACCATTTCTTGAAGATCAGTTCAAATTCCTAATACTAAATTTACCTCCAACTTCATTTTTGTTAGTTTCTCTATGCATAGTCTTTCCTAATTTTTTTTCTGATTTTTTTGGTCTGGTCCTATCTAAATTTCTAATTTCCTTTCCTCCATTTGCCTTCTCCTCTAACATCTTTGTATATTTTTATTCTCTGTTTATATAGCAGTAAATATAAAAAGTCTTCTTTGGCAAAGTGAGTTGTGCCAGCCTCCTCTACTTTTACCACCTCTAATGGCCTATGGTTACCCCTATCACAGACCTGTCTACCCACAGTTTTAATCACTATTGGTGGCTTGATTTCCAGATAAAATCTTTGCTTAATGATGACAAAGTCATTCTTGCTCACAATTATTTATTAAATACCTAGCAAAATTCTACTTAAAGTGCATATTATTTACTGAAATAAAATTAGTACATGTTTTAAAAGTGTCTATGACAAATATATAGCTACAGTTGACTTCAGTCAGAGCTTGTAACGTATAAAGTAAGAGGGGAAAAAAAGAATGCTTACAAAGGCTTAAAGGAAAAATTAGAAGTTAGGAAATGGAGACAAGGAGTCTAGATCAACCTTGGATTCATCAATGAGAATAGAAAGAATGAACTTTAGTGGAAGGCCCTGAGTTAAACGAGGCTATTGAGTCACATGTGTCTGTGGGAGAACATTTCTGCTCAACACATGTGTTGACTTTGCCAGATTCCCCATTACACAGTTCTCTACAATGGCAACAGACTCACACACCCCGTGCAAAAGATATGTTATTCCGAAATAATGAGACCACATAATTAATTAAAGATTTTTGAAGAAAAGGGCAGACTGGTTATGGAGAACAAAGAAAAGGGATTCTTTTAGATATAATGAAATTGTAAGTTGACTCATTGGTAAAGATTATTTATTAAAAGAAAACATTGATCATTAAATTTCTTATCAAGGTCTTAAATCAACCAGTCTTTGTACTGCTATGACTGTTTGTAAAGGAAGAAATATCTTTGAATAAAGAATAAGTCCTAATGTCTCTTATGTAAATAAATAAACAGTACTTTCTCTAGTAGTAAATAGTTTTATCCCAGTAAACCTTTTGCTCAGGAAACCGGAGTTTGGGAAGAAAATGTGATCTTGAGATACCTGTGACTCTTACCACTGACATTTAATTTTGCCTTTGTTGATGAACTTGAACTTACATCAAAAGGCAAGTAGCCATTATTTCTGGAAGCCTGCTGTGTCTGAGATGCACTAGGAGAGAGGAGGAGATGTTCTCTTCTGAGCATTGCTGTGAAGATCCTTTACAACTCCTATTGTTGCCAGGCACAGACTCATTTTAAGTATACACATGGCATTTAAAACATCATTTTCCTTTTTTATAATGAAATGAATTCTCTCCTTACCTTGTTGTACAAAGGATCCATACACAAACCACATGGAATTGTAGAGTGTAGTAGATGTCATTGATCCCATTTGTAATCGTGGGGGATTAAGCCAGTTCAAGAGGTAGACCAGTAGACCCACCAGAAGGACTGTGCCAGCAATGCAGGCCCATAGAGACAGATCAAATGGTGCAAGGCAGGCAAACATGTCCACAGTCTTTTCAGCCCTTCGAAGTAGGACCCCCACTGAGTAGTCCATATAACGTGTTGTAAAATCCACAACATTCTCACGGTCTGGAGTGATGGTTAAAGCAGAAATCCCTATGTCGGCTCTCTGAGAAATTGAAAGAGAGGAATATATTAATAGTGTGAAAAACAATTTGATTTGTGGCACTTCACACTGCCTTCAGGGAGAAAAAAGATGCTTCGGACAACATCTTAAGTCTTTTCATATAAACTGAAAACACTCCAGAGACTTTTTATAGACAAACTATACGTGAATTTTGCATTTCTTACTGTAAATCATGCCCCAACAGAGTCAAACAAATTACCTTCTTCATTCTATCAGTACATGTGGAATCAGTAAAGAACACTTCAGACACAGATACACATGAAGAAGTTGCTTTTTTTTGCCTCTAGTCATTTTATCAAAGCTATCCTTAACACAGTAGCAAAGCAAATCTTACAAAGAATTCTAACAAAATATTTCCAAGATATCCATTATTTCTTAACATGTAAATTATTAAGTAGGCTATTTTAAAATTTCAGCTATTATCCTTGTCTTAAATTTCTCTATGTAAAATTTTATATTTGAGACTCTAAACTTATTAAGATTTATAAGAAGTCTCACACCTTAAAGTTACAATGTCATTTGCCAAAAGCCTCTAACATGGCTTTGTTGTATAAACTTCAGAAGCATTCAGTGAATGAGCAGTAATCATGGGGACAGATAATTCTTGAATTCATATTTCTTTTTCTCAGTATGTGTTTCTTTAGATTTTCTGTAATAGTCGCTACAGTAGCACATGCTATTTACTTATTTCAGACACATTAAAGAATTGCACTAAAATACAGAATAAATGTTTTCACCTTTAAATTCTGTGATATGAGAATACATATATAAATATCTATACATCTTGTTTGAAATAATGATCTATGACTGTAATTAAAGAAGCAAGAAGCCCCTTCCAGACAGATATAAACATCAGTAAATTGTTTACTGAACATTTTTTATTGTTCTATGAAAGGGGATAGGAATGCATTTGTCAATCAACAAATTGTTGTCAACAACAATTGTTTACTGAAAGTTATTAAACTATGGTGTTGTGAGCTAAGGTTTTATAGCTTTTCGGTACTAAGGAAAAAAGAGAAAGAAGAAAAGATGCCAAGTGGGATGCTGAAGCAACTTAAATCAAATAAGTCTCTAAAATACTAAGACTCTTACATACTCTTGGTTAAGTTAAATAATAGTGTGCATGTGTGTGTACACCAGGCCCATGTCCACTTGTTGCTTGACCTAATGCTCAGTATTTAAATACTTTTGTTCAATTAACCCCTATAACGAGTTATGAGCTATGTATTTCCTTCTTCATTTCAAAGGCAAATGCTAAAACTGAGAGAGTCGGAGCTCCCTTTGCAAGTCTCAGTTGATAAGCACAGAAATCAGTACTAAAGGTACGTTTTTCTTACTCCAAAGCTTGTGCTCACACCTACATTATGGTTTTATAACATATCCTTAATTTTCTGATAGATACATGTTGCAGGAAGTCAGGATTACTGTTTGTAAGACATAACTTGAAATTTTGCTTTTTTGTGTGTATGCATGGCTATGTATGCATGAATGCACATGCCTATGCAGGTTTGTGTGTACATGTGTGCAGGTGTTTGTGAAGTCAGTGGACAAGTTCAGGTATGATTACTCAGGCACCGTTCACTTTATTTTGAGATAGTGCCTCACTGACGTACAGCTTACTAACTAGGCCAGGCTGGCTGACAGCAAGCCCTGAGATCTGGCCATTTCCATCTTCCCAGCACTAGGATTACAAGCATGTACCACCACGCCTACCTTTCTTATGTGGTTTCTGGGGAACAAAGTCATATCTTCATGAAGAAGGAGCTTTACCCACCAAACCATCTCTCTAGACTGGAAACATTGTTATTATAAATTATACTCTTCACATTGCTACAAAGCAGTATAAATACGTGAATGTTTACTGAAAGGTATTCAACTATGGAGTTGTGAAAAACAACTATTTGTGTTTCAAGTGTGGTTTTTAACAGGATGGGATTAGATCTTTTCAGATGGAAAGTCTGACCTGGATCTTTGACTATTTGTTCTGTCTTTTCTGAGCTTTAGTAAATTTATTTGTGAAATGAATGTAACTAATATCATTATCATAAAATAACTCATTTATCTTGATCTTGATGGTGAATAAATAACTCCGTATAATTCAGTTAGGCTCTCTGAAGGTGTGCTTACTTTCTTAAGACAGTACAATTCTGTGGATCAGTAATATAATAACTGATATGCTTGTGACCCAAAGGATTAAAGACTCAAAGTCAAAAAATTACATCCCAGGAGGAATTTACTAACATCTTGGTGGAATATTTCTAAAAAGTTCATGCTTATTTTGCTAATCGATAATTGTTTCAGCCACGTATGGTGGTGCATGCCTGTAGTCCCAGCATTTAAAAGGTGGAGACAGGAAGATCAGGAATGAAAGATCAGTCTAATTACATGCTAAACCCAAGGTCAGCCTAGGCTACATGAGATGCTGTCTCAAACAACAACATAAAAGTTTCACATTTACATGATTATACATTGGAATAGCCACCTACTGATTTAAAAACTTTACTACATTTATTTATTTTTGTGTGTATATGTGTGAATATGCATCCACACACATGTGCCACGGCACACATGTGCAGGTCAGAAGATAGTTTACAGGAGTTCTGTCCTTCCAACATGTGGGTCCCAAGTGATTGAAGTAGGTCATCAAACTTTGGGGCCAGCACATTTACCTGTGGGGTCATCTTACTGACCCTATACTGATTTTAATAATGAATAATTCTAAGTATTATAAAATGAGTACTTGCACTGAAATAATCTCTATGACATTTATTTACTTGGGTACAAGGAAGAGATCATTTTGCATGCACAAAAATTGTAATAGGGCACCTTCTTGTCCATAGCTCTGCCATGTTAAAGTTTAGGCTGACTCTAGTCTCTGAAATTATCAAGCAGTTGACCCAGGGTGGGGAACACATGTCTACTGGACCCTGGTTGTCTTTGGAACAGGTCAGAGTGTTCCAGAGTGCACCGGCTAACTGCAAATTTATGGCTTCTATAGGTTATGCTTGGCTTGCTTCTGCAAAAGAGTAATTGTTGCTTAATAGAACAGAAATTGTTAAGGGACTCTCTACCTGTAAGCTTGGGAGCTTAAACTTGTCATGCCTGGTTATGATTTTTCTGTATAAAAGTTTACCCTAGAGATCATTTGGCACTACACACTTGGGTTCCCAACACCCTTGTGTAGTAGTCCTGGCCAGTAACAGCTCTCATTCGGCAAAACTTTGTCTGAGTGCTCTTCTCTGGTAAAGCACTCCACAACAAAATGTTAATAAATATGACAATTACTTACATGAATCTGTAGAGAATCTTTCTTAAATTCTCATTGAATTTCAACATTTGGCATTCTAGTCTTAAAAGAAATTGCACCTTCCCTAGGGCAGGCAAATCAGCATAACAATGAATTTTTCTTCTTTTTTTTTTTTTTTTTTGGTCTTTTTGAGACAGGTCTCCCTGTAGCCCCAGCTGTCCTAGAACTCGCTATGTAGACCAGGCTGGCCTTGAACTCACAGAGATCCGCCTGCCTCTGCCTGCCAAGTGCTGGGATTAAAGGCATGCGCCACCATGCCCAGCTAATAATGAACTTTTCAAACAGACATATCTATTCATACACACACACACACACACACACACACACACACACACACACTCATCTACTTTATTGTCTCTATATTTATGTCCTCTTCCCAGGAAGATGTTCACTCTGTCCTTCTGACAGCAAAATGTCAGACAGATGACTATGTGAATGCTCTTTCTATTAAAGATACTGAACTGGACAGAAAGAGTCAAAGACCACTGATTCAGGCAGATGGCCTCAAATCCACTGAATATCAACAAGCATAATCCAAGTGATCAGGAAAATCACTCATTCTTATCTTTTTTATGTATCAGCTTGATCAGCTCAGTTTTCTGCTTTCTAACACTGGACACTTTGAGACCTTTAGTCTTCCCACTAGCCACTAACTTTCAAAAGATGTCTTCTGGAATTACATGGAAAACATGAAAAATGTAAGATTCAAATTAACAGCAACTCCCACCTCCCCGATTCTATCGATCCCCAGTTCATTCTTTTGAGCCTCTGTTTACAAAAGAGGATCTGTTCTACTTTTTATCTAACGATAGCCTTCACTGGTAAACTTTACCAACTTTCTCCAGTTCAGGTACCTAAACCCTGTCTCAAGGAATCAACATCATACAGCCTGTACATTTCGTATTTGAAAATTCTTTAACTTTGTCTTATTAATATAAAAACAAAAATATGAAGGTCTTTCCCCAATTTTTATGACCTCTGACTCATCATAATTATGTTTCCTCTCTTCCCTTTTTGGTGTCAGTTTAATCCTGATTCGTTTTTATTTCTCCAAAAGCAGTTGCTCTAAGGCTCTTGCAACATGTAACTGGGCACTTATTCATGGAAACAGCCCTTCTAAGTCTCTGCATTGTTGAATCAAATCAACTCAGGGTCCATCTGATGAGGTGTCTCGACTGTATTTGGCAGTGACAATTGCTGCTCCCGAGGGTGGGTTCTAGAGTCATACTGACTGTTCATTGTCATAATTGATATTTCTATTAAATTCCACAACTATCCCTCAGATTTGACATGGCCAACACCATACTCATAACAGTTAACTCAAATTCTCTTCGGATGCCTCCTGCTTCAGTGAATGATGCTGTTTTACATAAATCATAAACTTTGTAGCCTCGTATTTCCCCCCTTAGGATCTTATGTAGTCTGTCATTATTGAGTTTTTTTCTTCTGAGAACCTGTATGTCCACTCTCTGCTCTACGGTTTCCAGCCCTTGTCATTAATTTCTTGGGCCCTAGCTCCTTCCAGTCTACACAAATACGCTTTTTTCCTTTCTGTATTGCTACCAAAATATCATTCTTTGAAGAAAATCTGATTCAGCTAGATCATGCTTCATTGTTTTTCAGTAAGTTTGCATTGTTCTTAGGGAAGTGACTCAATATGCACTCAATACACACT